TTGCGATCACTCTGACGTTCTGAGCGTTGAACAGCTGCTCGACGGTGAAGAGCTTCTCATCCGAAAAGACGATCGAGTGCGTCCGAAGCAAAAGCTGTCGGCACTTCTTGACTCGCGCCTGCTGATTCGAGGCGCTGAGAATGGCAGCTTTTCGAGTACGGTGGGGGTACATCTTAAGGTCTTCGTGGATGATCCTTTCCATTGACTTCTGCGAGATTCCCATGTTGCGAGCCATCGTGGAGATGCTCCGAGTCGCGTTTCTTGCTCTCCGCTTTCTGACGGCCTCGACGACCTCCGGCGTGCGAGCAGTACGAGGTCTTCCACTTCTTCGGTAGTCTTGGAGTCCACCAAGGTCTCGATAACGTTGGAGTGTATGATACACGACGCTGCGGTGGATGCCAAGGTCCATGTCCATAGCGATCGTGGCGGGTGGGCGGCCGGTTTTGTGCAGACGAACGATAGCGGAACCATCAGGAGAAGGCCTCACCATTTCACTAAGAATGGTCCAAATTTAACCAAATTTTAACAAGAGTTAGAAAAAATGATGAGATTGAAAAATCCATAAAATTGGCGCGCTACGTGCGCGATAGAATGTACGCTAACTGCAGCACGACTTGTCGCTATAATTATGGCCAACCCTGTATAAAGAGGTAGCCTTGTGCGTCTGTTTGAATGGCTGTTTGTGCGTCTTATAAAAGTCACATAGGTACGATGAAGAGTGTGATGTCAAGTGAACGCGGTGTTGAAACGGTTATGAAATGGGAAGTCAACCGATGCTGTCTAAATTGGTACTCCAACAAGTCGTAGGTAAGCGGTAGTGGGCATGTAGTGCATGCGTTAGCGTGCGTAACCCAACTGGTGAATAAATAAAGAAAGACCTCTGGGTAGTGTTATTCGTAGTAATAGCATGATGACAGGCATGATTTGCTACTGCGACTTCAACCAGTATGCCTTCACTGGCTTCAATACAACACCAACGCATCTACTTAGTTCTTCCTACGTATCTCTGTAATTATTCAGCCCACTAGTGTATAATACATCGTCATTATCTTTCGCATCTATGTACATCCCTCCCTCCACTTGCATGTAGGGAGGTGTCACCGATAGCCCATCGAGAAGCCAGCCCACAGAAGAAAGAGTACGGGTGCAAAAGGCCTAATTAATTCCATCTAGAACTATAATCGCACAACTAGGAGAGTAGCAGTGAGGAGAATGATTTTAAGGGTTATTAAGTGGAAGTGAGCATATCAAAAAAAAAAAAAAAAAAAAAAAAAAACTCACAGGTTCAGTGGCCGAGTACGAAAACGTTGATAAAACAAGAACGGTTATCAAATTGATAATGAGACCGATGAGAGTGATCAAATTCGGTGCCAACCACATCGGACACCATGTAACTGCGTATTCCCACCATCTGAAGAATAATTTGATAAAACCTTGAGGGATCGAACTGGTAATGACGGTTAACCTTTTCATGCATAGTTCATCCAACCAGCTGTTATCAACGGCTGAGTATTTGTGTTCTCCAAGGCGTTTCAATTCATATTCAGTCGCTAAGGAATCGGTCTGAAAAGCTAATTATCCTTGCGCTAAGAAGGACATCAGAAAAAATGTTTCAAAATTCTGATATTTTGAAAGGAGACTTCCTAGCGATCAAAACTTAGTAACAGTATGGAAGCTAGTTTAGTATGAAGGCTCACCCATTGGGACTAAACATTATTCGAACTTCGTTTGGAGTATTTACGTACGTACATATGTCTGTAATGCAGGCATCGATAGGTCGGTAATCTAAGGAGATTTATTTTAAGTTGAAAGTGCATGAGGAGTCAGCAACAGTCCGATCATACGAAAGTTCAGAATTATTGCTATCATTTAGAATGACTCCTGCTATCAATTGAACTGATGTCATGTTCATTTTCTAGTTCGTAAGTGAGCGAACGAAATATGTCCGCATTTTGAAGAACGAAATAAATATGCCTATGATGTTCAAGACAAACAACAAACCTCAACGTACCACAACCACAGACTGAGTAGCCGCGATCCAGGGTTGCAGTCCATCTGGAAATAATGTTCTCCGCAAGAGATCATGAGAATTTCTATAACACCAATAGTAATGAAAAAGAAAGTGGAGAACGTAAAGGGGTTCAAAAAAAAAGCAAAAACGCCTGCAAAACCACGAACAATCGATTACGTGAATGTGATCTGTGAGCTCCACGTAAACAAACCAGTATTATATCATTGTTCTCATCAAAAACATACAACAGATTAACAAATACCGAAGGACCAAAAAACTTAACCATTCGCCGTTCCCACGGCTCAGGCTTCACATATCTAGAGCATCTCACATATTTTGCTTAGTGGACTCGTTCTTAATTATTGAACGATACCTCAACTGAAAACATGAGGCAGCTCTTACGCTTGTTTTTTTTTNNNTTTTTTTTTGTTTTGAACGAGTCAACGAGTGTTGTTTTCTATATTACGCTCTCCTTTTTTGGAATAGGACACGATAAGCCTCGATTCCCTCATGCGTTCAAGAACAAACGAAGTAAAATGGATTGATTGGTTGACTTATAACCTAAGCGAAAGCTCCGTGTGCAATTAAACAAAGACAAAAGGAATCCAAAGAACGAAATATCAACGGTTCCGGATCATTTGAAACGAATATTAGCAGCATAACATTGAAAACGACAACTTGAGATACGAATCAAGCGAAAAGAACTAAAGGACAAACTTTCGTAATTTTTTGGCAGGCATAGATGTGGTTTGTAGGCATAGATGCGAATGGTCAGGAAAGTAAAAAAGCGAATTCGTTCCAGAAAAACAAAGCATTATAGCTTTGTCTGAGACGTAACATTTCGAGATCGTATTCATGATATTCCACGATGACGAAGTGAGAAATGTTCGATTTGAGCCTTTCTTCATGATAAACGCTGTGCGACACCATGGACAGCGAATCGATGTTGTAGACTAGATGAGGCTTTTCGTTTGCGATGTGATTCTAGTTACACATTTGAGATATTTCTTTGAGAGAATCGTTCATGAAAGTCAGTTGTCAAACTATAGGGTGGCGAAAGATACGCTCAGGTTTTAACTTGATGTTTTGTTAACTGCTGTTATTTCGCCGCTGTTGGCAATCCGAAAGTCTCACAAGGTTGACGTGTTATGGACAAAACTTTTGCCTCTGACGGGACTGGAACCTGTAGTTGTGTTGCTCGGCCACCGTGCTCTTTAGCACTTGCACAACCGAGACCCTGCATGCCCTTGCCTTTTAATTACTTTTATGCTATAGCTTATTAACACTCACACGTAAAACGTGGTGATCGGTCAGCCAATATCAGCAATAGACGTCCGAGGCCTCACCAACCTTATGAGACACGTTCGGTTTAGAACTAGGCAGCTTCTCGCAAGGAAAGGCGTCAACCTTCTGATATCCGTCGTCTCATGGGAATCGACCTTCACTGTTGTACAACGATACGAAGAATGCAGGGATCAATAAGTGGGTGATCTGACGAAGTTTATATAAGGTACGGTGAAAAGGCTGCCTGAGAAACGGGAGCATAGCTTTTCTCCAACATTGAGCGGCAGACCCCAGAGAAATGGCTGACTTTACCTAAAATGGGGGATGGATCTTGGCCGAAAGAATATAGTTTTTACCTAAATTCTAGGAAGGAAGGAGCATCGGATGATTGAGCTGGTAAACTCATATAGACAGCTGGGTTGAGTAAAGACTAAAAATTCATTTGATTCACGCACCCGACACTCCTTCCCTCTTGAGCTTTAGGTAATAAAAACTATGACCAATACGAATAGTGCGATGAAAAAATCAGCAAAAAGAGAACACTGGACATCAGATGAATGAAGAGCAAACGTGAATGGTGAGATCGTGCGACGACAAATAATAAGTACATCACGATTATCCTTGAACACTGATGAATGTGTAGACAGCTGCCGGCTTCAATCTTGTTAGACGGCAGCGTCGAAAAAAACGCATATGTTCGAGTCACCTCATTCACTTGCTCCATTACCCTCCAGATTATTTCTTCCAAGGCCACAATTGTACACATTAAATGAAAGGAGAAATAGGAAAGCGAGTGTAATAACCATATCTAGCAGAAATAGCAGAAAAATGTGCAGATAATCATTCAACAAGGAGTCGTGGTTTGAGCACGAGGTCGTGTTGGTTTGAGGACTGTCCAGTGAGGAAGAGAGAGAAAGGGAGGGCGAGAATGAGAGCGAGAGTGAAAGTGAGAATGTGTGTGTTTGCTTATGTGTGTTTGTGTGCATGTTTAAGTGTAGAAGTATGTTGTTTGTTTTTGTGCTTGTGCGTGTTTATGTGTGTTTGTGTGTATGTTTGTGTGTATGTGTGTATGTTTGCTTGTTTGTCTATGTGCTTGTATGTGTGTGTATTGTTGTGTACGTGTTTTCGTGCGTGTATGTGTGTGTGCGTGCGTGTTTGGTGTGTATTCGTGTATGAGGGTGTGTTTGTGTGTGGGTTTTTGTTTATGTGTGCGTGTTTGCGTGCGTGTATGTGTGTGTATGTGTGGTTTATGTGTGTATTTGTGTGTATGTTTATGTGTGTGTGTATGTGTGAGGGGGTGAGAGAGAAGTAGTAAAACTTCGCACTTCTGATTACTCGCGGCTGCAATTCTGAGAATCGCGTCGAGCAGTGTATGTAGATTCATCCCAAGCACGCTTGAAACTGATTTCGGTGAAAATATAGTTGGGGGGGGGGGGGGGTGCCAGCGCCCCTTTGTGCTCTGCGTCCCTGACACCGGCGGCAGAGTGCATAGAGGTCGCAGAAATGAATTCCTGCCCTTCTGAAAGTTAGGGGAGGAGCTTCGTAGTGGGAGAGAAGATTATCTTGTACAAAAAGCTGGGATGGGGTAAGAATCGAACATCCAACTGATTCACCCACCACGGAGCTCCTTCCCTAACTTCTAGAAGGGGAGGAGCTCCGGGATGGGTGAGATGATTAGATGGGGTGAGAAATGAAGAGACGCAGAGCACAAAAGGGCGCTGGCACCTTCCAAGTACATTTTCACCCTGATTTCCCTTCAATAGTAGATACATGAAGCACAACACCAATGCTATTAAGTAAATACTAATAGGTAGGCAGACCACAGTTCCTATGGAAACTATTCTTAACTAACAGTATTGTGAAACACATTTTTAAGTATTTGCTTTTGGCGATTTTCCTGCTCTCAATTTATGTCCAACCAGAGCTGCGCATGGAAAAAGGCAGATTTTTCACTAAAAATACAAGAGAAATCTACTGGTTTTACAAAACAACCCCACACAACATATAGAAGATACTTTTGTCAGCATGAGGCAGCAGTTCACAGTCAATAATACAGTTATATCATTTCTGTTACAGAAATAAAAGATTATTATTATTATATTCTTATTGGAATTAAATGATTGTAAAGTGATTATTATGAAGATAAGACATAGCTTCACACGCGCTCACATTTGATCACAACCCATCGTTAGCTGATACCTCAGGCCCTAGTTGTGCCGTGCACCAATGTAATGGTGTAATAGGCGCTCAATAAATAGTGAGATGAGAAACGTTGCTCTGAGAGAGAAAAAGGACACGGAATCAATATCGCTTTCAACTTTTAGCCCTTCTATTGCACTGAAAGCTAAGGAAGTGAAACATGTGAACACACATAAGGATTAGAGGGAACCCAATTAGAGGGATTTTAAAGTCCCGTGATTGTGTGACACAGTAATTCCCTTGCACCCCGTTTACCAGTATTCCAGTGAATGCTGGGGAAAAGTGAGGCGATCGAAGAACAAACAAGGACTGACGAGCCACTAGCCTGACGAGGTTGATTGTTGGTGCGAATCGATTCAACAATCGGCTGGGAAAGCAGTTGAGACCATCTTGATCAAACACGATTTCGCAGGTGATGCAAGGAAAGAGAGCCGAGCTCGTTCTGAACATTAAGAGGAATGGCGAAATGACCGTTAAACATTATCCAGGTTTATGTGATAATTACTTGTGTAATATCACCATATTGTTATTTGAAGAAAAGGAGGCATTGTGGAGAATAAATAACCCACAATGGTATGGAACGTTAATACTTGATAAAGAAAAATGCGCAACTCAATAGGAGGCTCGGGCAAGAGGTAGCTAGTTCAGGATGTCCGAAAGAACAACATATGGAAGTAAGGAATTTTGCTTTTACCCGTGACTGCGCTGTTTTAGCGCCTCTCTTCAACTATTACAAGACAGAAAAACAACCATGAATCCTAATTGATAAGCATCTTCTTACAAGCAAACGGAGGACCACTAAGAAATTGAAATTTAGGTGAGGTAAACGACAATAGAAGAGCCCTGAGCTGAGTGGCTGTAAGGTTGTCACTGGATTGCATCGCTAGGTGCGACCTTGGCGGCTAGATTTCATTTCAAAAAGAATCAATAAGCCGAAGCTGTGGAACTAGTGGTAGTCATGGAGTGGAAGGCACTGCGGCAATTCCCGAAGCAGCCAGTGGCTTAAATGGAAATAAACTGAAAGGTCATCAAACAAACTTCCAAACATATCATATTGATCGATAATGGTGCTGGAAGCAATTCGAAAGGCTTCGTATCCGAATAGATGTCACGCGAAAGTAGCTTCGTGCTGTTCAAAAAGCAGGACCAGTGTCAATAATAGAGCGAGTAATCGAAAAAGTACTCGTGATCAACATCTGAACTATATCTATAAATAAATATATATAATTGTAAATAAATAAGAGAAAAAGTAAAAAATATAAATAAATACATATGTATGGATATAAAATTAGGGTGTCCCAAAGTTATGTCCACCAAAATTCAGAAACTTCCAAGGCAGAAACCACTCATTAATTCCACTTGGTACGTTATTAATTAGTTACAAAATTAGGTTTTCTTGCAATGAGCACGTTACTGGGGTGAGAGCCCCGTTATCATTCAGATGGGGAGGCTCGTTCACTGCCCCTTGCAACCATTCGCATCAGGAGGCGGAAGGCCATAGTAATATTTGTGTGATTTCATTACTGTCCTCACAGAAAGCTGTTAAACGACTCATAGGAGC